ACACTCTCTATAAAATCCTGGTGTGGATTCCCTGCTATGCAGATACAGAGACGATCTATATGGAGTACTACACCGGCCGTGAACATCGCAATGTGGATCGTGTTCGATGGTTGAGCTTACTAGGGGAGAATGTCGTCCTTCGCCCTCAAGGGTCAAGCTCCCAAACATCGAATCTAATTGTCGCATAGCGAGCGCTTTCTTAACAGCAGTCATCTTTCCCGCCACACTATGTGCCGATACGCACAAATAAAATCAACACTAATTCATAAAATAACCACAATCCGCGTAAACGTAATAATTTAGAATATAATACTGAAATTGACAAATATGTATGTCTCCTAAGTATGCCGCGACGCGACTGTTCGATGCGGTCGGCATTGTGCGCACAGCGGCTGTCGATGACTCAGAAATGCGCGCGCGCAAAACGAGACTACAATAATCAACATGTCCTACAATTACAGTAAATTTATGTGTACAGATTATAAGAAGGTAAATAATAAACAAGAAATACCGAGAGCAAATCAATAATAATAACCAAGGACCTTTAGAATGTGGGCGTCGATCCAAGATCAAGTGATGATTATACAACATAAAAATATTGACTTGACTTTTATAGCTGCAGCATAATTAAGTGGAAGTTGCCATTAAGATAGCGACCAAAAATAACTTTTGGTAATAGCCATAACATGTAAAGACGCCTAATCGTTGTATTAAATGCCTATCAATCTAAGAAATACTTAACTATAGTATATTTAAATAACATTGACAGACTACGAATACGTCATAATTGAAATGGTATTACAACTGAAAATATTAAAAAATAAATTTTGGACACACTGGTAATGTATTAAATAACGAGCTGTTGCCCACGACTTCGTCCGCGTGGCATTAGTAAACATACAAACTATATAAATTACAAAAAGTTACGTATCCCTCGGGAACCGGACATTTCTCGGGGATGATGATTATCCTATGTGTACTCCAGACTTTGTTTTATATCTGTGCCAAATTTCAATACGATATGTTGAACCGTTGCAGCATGATGGAGTAAACATTAAAAAACTAAATTAATGAATCCCACGGGAACCGTAACTATTCCCGGGATAAAAAGTAGCCTGTGTGTTCTTCCTGGCTATGCTCTAAACCTGTGCCAAATTTCATAGAGATCCGTTCAGCCCTTTAGCCTACAAACGCTAACAAACATCCATCCATCCATCCATCTATCCATCCATCCATCTAGACTTTCGCATTTATAATATTAGTAAGATGGTTATCAGAATTAACTAAAGGCAGTAAGTGATTAATTTTCTTCTTACATCTCTTATGTAATTAAACTGATTGACTAATGTTTGTAATCGAATTAACGCGGCAACTTTACGGCTTCGAAGATCCTAACGAATTAAACAAGATTAGATATGGATATATGGGTCACCCGCGACAAGGACCGTTAGCTTGACTCTTAATTAGTTTGTCGTAATAAATGGTACAAGAATATTTTCAAACTTCATGTGACATTTATTTATGTAGTACTGAGAATGATATACTTTTTAACAGACTTCCTAATTTTGAACGAGATGGTACAAACCTGGTCATAAACCTACTTTCCTGCTTGTTTATTTGACAACACGTACGTGAAATGGGTACATTGTTTGGCAATTACCGAATACCGCTACAGGGACAAACGATGGCTTGACATATTCTTTCGAAAAAGACCGACGTTTAACATACGTTCCAGTTTACCACTTTGAACCTCTTTAAGAAGTACCGTTATTAAAAATAAAATAGGTTTACAAAATTCTAGTTATTGGTATTTCTACTATATTATAAATTATACAGTGGAAATTCTAACAGTGAATTAACTCTTCTGAAACACTTGTAATAAAACATATTTTTAAGCATATGTAGTGGTGTTTGGCAGTGGAAACACAGTACGTCATTTATGACAATACATTTTTGCCTTAAAACTGACACTATGAAATTCTGCAAAACAAGTTGTCGGTATGAGTCTGTTAATTAAAGCGAATAAAGGCGTCTCTAAATAACAAGCCACAATAGTTACATCATCGCTGGACGATTTCATTCAATGACAACACTGTGACAACACAACCAGTTCGATGTCAATAAATAGTGATAAACCTGAACGACCTTGACGATACAGAAATAAAAGAAAGGCGTAGTTGGACACGGTCGCGGTGATTACAAACAACGTCTGTCGGAGCAGCAACAAGGAATGTGAAAGTTCAATTTATATGAAAATTAAATTGTTGTAACAACGCATTTCTAAAATCACAATCGATATTACTTATGTAATACTTACAACAAAAAAAGACATTTTTCCTTCAACTTCAGCATTTTAAAATCTGCAAATATAACTTTTAATGACGGACGCTTGAAAGATTTTTTTAAAGGAGAAACGAGCGATGATAGTAAATTGATGAATAGGGGAAAAATTAAAATTAAGTAAAAGATATCATATGTCGATAAAAGCCAAAAATTACTAGATAAGACAAAACGAGTTTAATTTTTTCGATATACATAATTCTACGCCTTTAACAATCCTTTTGTAATAGGATAATGGACGAATTCACACACACAGAAGGAACACTGAGGTAATCATCGATGATCATGACCATGGCCATCCACAAGGCCAGAGCAAATGTCGTTATGATGTCGTTTGAGCAAGAATTTCCCCCGCTTCTGAAAAGCCCTAGTTGAATAGATTTCATCGTATTCTACTTAAGGGGTGACGACCAAATGACATATTTTACAATGTACTAGTAGTATACTTTATAGAAGATTCTTGACCTCGCTATGAAGCTAAGGAGAAAATTAAATCAGTCAACGCATACATATGTATAATGTTATTGCGTCATGTAGTTATTATAAGGAAAAATAGAAATTTACGACGACAGCAATATGAATAAACATCACCCGTATTTGGTTATTAAGTGACTTTCAATTTACCGTAAACATACATAACTTGGTATACTTCAACCATTTAAATGTCTAACATTTATTGTATAAACTAATCAAAATACCAGGAACGCTGAATAACTTTTTAATTTATGACGTCATCGCTGTATTGCATATGAAACAAGTTTTTTTAAGCATAGGGCCATAAATAATAGTAGCGACCTACCACAACATAGCCAATGATTTATAAAATGATTGGCGAGCGATAGTCATAAGCGAAAATATCTACCACATACATTTTTTAAAAGTAAACCAAGTAAATTAAAAATCCAGCTTATATAATATGAAATTGAAAATTACAATGTTAGATAACCTTTATTGCATATTTATTATTGTGTTAAATGTGTGATAATAATTATTCAATACTGTTTTTGCATATTTATAAGTAAGAAACCGGAACAGGAAACGAAACTAACGAATTACACTTTTGTTTTTAAAATAATATACAATATTGAGAAGAATAAGTACATTAAATATGATTAGACTATAAACTAAGATTCTTGATCGTTTCATTAATCGATCGAACCTAAAATCCTAATATTTTTACTACAACGTAGCTTTCATTTAGCTAGCTAAAGTTTCCTAATAAATATTAGACGATTTCTTTAAACTTAAGCAATAGACGAGGCTATAATTAGTCGAACGGAGACAAAAAAATATTCCAACGTTTTATTCATACAAAACCTTAGTTAATGGTGCTGTGGGCGTTTGCGTTTCAACCAAACGCCATATTCATTACAAAGCTATAAATAAGATCATTTTTATGGCGACCGTTGATAAATCAATCGTATGACAAGACAAAGACAAACGCTTGTAGCTGACTTATGTTGTCTTTTCAAACGCCTTTAAAGATTGTGTCATGTTTTTGTATGTTTCCTAGAAGTAATAAATAGTAAAAAGTAAAATATCAAAGAGATTCGTTACATTGTTCGTATGTGTTTAAATATAACTATCTATGGATAACAGGTCTACCAACCAGTTGTTCATAGAATTAAAGTTAAGAATTAAGAAGACACTTTGCTATTAATCTGCTAAACAACATACACTATAATAATCTATAAGATTTTACATTAAATAAAGTTTTAGCATATTTATTACTCAAAAAACAATAAAAAAACGTTACAAAATTATCTTTTATTTATTTAACTATAGTTGAGTTTTCGTGTGCCTAACATCATGTCATAGCAATACGTTAAAAAAATATATTGCGGAATAAAAATAGAAGGCGTTACAGATTTTAAAATGGACAGCTGTTTTTATTTTTAAGGAACGTTAAATGAATAAACCCGAAGATGAAAATTCAAAATAGATAAACTGATTGAATAATATAATAATTAAATTAATTTAATAAAATAATAATGTACAGAACAACTTTGTTACCTAATCTAGACAAAATTTAATAATCCAATAATGTCACTAATTACATTAAGATACATACAATATTATTTTCTATTATTTCAAAAAGTGTAGAAAAGTGAATATCACAGTATGTTAAAAATAGTACAACGGAATTTAGTATGTAAACTCTTATATGCGTTACAAAAATTAGCATACTCGTGAATTTTATCTATATAGCAAAAATGAAAAAAAGAAAACTATTTTAACATTCTCTCGCCTTTGAAAATCTATTACATTAATTATATTATGTTACTACTCATAGAAACAAAGTACTATATGCTTGTACTCCTATACGTGTTTAAAAATGTTTTATTTCAAATCTATTTGACATTTAAGTAGCTCTTGTAATGATTCTTAAGTAGTAATTCCGCATACCCGCTTAATCAACGTATATCCTGCGCATATCTCGAAACTCAGACAAGCAAAATCAAAGATAAATCATAGAACACACACGAGAAAACATTACCGAGTGAAAAAGGCGATTTGCTCGCAAAATATGCGGCGATCGCAAAAAATCTAGTACGTACGATCATGATGTTCGGCCAAGAGCAACGAACCAGGAAAGTAGAGCAAAATACCGTTGTTTTAAGTAATTAAAACATTTTTTTTATAAAAGAAAGATCTCTTACCATCAATCCTTCCAGATTTTGTGCCAGCTCTCCCGGTTCGAATTTGCTGAAATCAAAATAAAGATAATATAAGTAACTTTAATAAGTTTAACAGTTTATATAAATATTACTATAGTTATACTAATAAAAAGAGGGAAGATTTGTATTTTTGTATGTATTCGATTTACAAAACTATTGGGATATTTAAAAAAAAAAATTCAGGATTAAAAAGATAATTTTTCTGTAAGTAACATAGGGTGTATGTTTTATTATTTTTTTAATTTCTCGCAGGCGAAGTCGCGAGCAACAACTATTTACTAAGTATATTCAAGGTTATTTTCTAAGTTGTTCAGAGAAATTTATGAAATTAAGGGACAATTGAACATAATGGAAGTAGGCAATTGACAACCAGGCATAACAAGTTGCATGCTCAATCTACCATTGTAAGAAAACCGTAACTAAATAATTTTCATATGTGAAGTGCTCAGCCAAGCAGATCATTTTACCCTCATTGTATTGTTTTGTGAGTAAAATTGAACTGTTAGGATTGAAAAGCTATCTATGCTTATATAACATTGTTTCAACAATGTTATTTGGGCAGACATTGTTAAATTTAATTAAATTCTAACAATTAACAAATTTACATCAAATAGGTACTTTTTATTAAAGCAATATTGTTGACTAAAAATACCATCACCTATTTCAATTATATTTTAACTTAGTGTTGAAACAAAAACTATGTGTAACAAAAACCTAATTAAACATAGTTGGTTTTTCATAACCTGGCTTAAACACCCTTATTATAGTCTATTTGTATTTATTATTACTCATTCCAGACTGTTAATTACATCTATACTAATATAATAAAGCGTAAACACACACTACTTCATGGCGTAGGATGTGAGCAATTACAGCGTATTTTTGAATTCTCTCTTTAATAAAAAGCCCTACACTTACGACACGCTTTAGGATATTTACTTTTACGCTATTAAACTTAGAGAGTAAATGAACTGTAAAAAAAAAAACATTCACGTGGGAAACGGACCATAAACTAGCTGCCAACATTAAGGAAGCAAGTAAGTTATGGTAACGGTAAGTTTGACATTTGCAATTGAGAATTTGACAAATGTAAACAACAAAATAAAGTTTTTATAATTACATGCATTACATGATGAAGCCGCACGGGAACAGCTACTATAAGATATGATGCATTATCTATATTTCGTAATATTGAGTTTATCATAATTTACCTGTAAGGCTGTTTACATTCAACGGAGGTTTCTTGATTCACCTGTTGTGGCAGTCTAATGGATTGGGTGAGGTCAGATGATGCTTCACCTTGTTGTTCCATCCTGAAATTAATAAATACAAAAACAAATAAGCATTATAAAAAAGTGTAACATATGTAATTGGATCTCTTAAATAAATTACTTACGGCTTAGGCGCTCGTAATTCAGAGGAGCATAAGCTCCGTATATAGTCATCGCATTCACGCTGCTTTTGAATTTGATATTCCTTTAGCAATTCTCGGCGGAAATCTCCATCCAGAGTTGGCATAAGCTTTGGTTCTATATCCAGTGGCGCACGTTCAGCAAGAGAGGAACGCTCGGTAGACGCAGCTGTAGTTGATATCGAAGTAGACGCAGAGTAATCTTGTCCCCTATGCTCCGGAGTGGTAGCATTCGACGCACCAATGCTATTTGATTCAGTTGTTTTTGTGGACAAGGCAACATCTCCCGTAGGTTTCAATTGCTCCTCAATTGGCTTTAATGTTTCATTAATACCATTGTACATACTGTCGGCATTTTTATTATCAAACAGTCTGTCTACAGACGTATTCATCAATTTGCTCCCTTTTATGCCAGTGAGATGAAAACCAGCAAAGCAAGAGGATGAGGGGCCATAGTCTATAGCAGAAAGAGCCATTAGCGCAGTATGTCGAGGTGCACCATCAGGCAGGGGACGCAAGGATCGCGTCATAGCATCCGCAGCGGACCGAGGCCGCCTAAACGGCATCGCCAAGTGCGGGAATGTCCGAGGTTTTATAGGCGTTACAAGCATGTGCTCGGTCCATGACGTATGTAAGGATGGACGATCTAATTTCTCTACATCCACATTTAGCATTCTTTGTTCAAATGGTACACTAAATGTCTCAGCTGGGATTGACTGCAGCCATGATAGAAGACTCAAGTCGGATTCATCAAACCCTGAGCCATCAAGTAGCTGGGAAAAGTTAACTTCATTTGACTGAGCTTCTTTAGATCCAGTGGCTTTAGCTTGACAGTAATTTACACACGACTCGTACAATATACCTTTGATAAGTAATTGCATTAAGCGATCATTTTTAGCGCACTTTGCCACAGTGCCAGTCGATTTCTTGTCACAAGGTAAGAACTGCTCCACCAAGGGATATACTTCTCGGAAGCATTGTACTCTCGCATTACTTGGATTCCATTTCTTAAACTGTGCATGATCTGTGATACTTGGGAGAGTTAGCAGTAAGCAGAGATTGGAGTATTCTTCCTTTGTGGGTGCAAGTTTCTCTAACTCGCTAAGTACTTTGACAACTTCATCTACAATGTTCTCAACGTTATTGTAAGCTTTGATTTCAGATCTGATGCAGAGAAGTTCGATGTACTTATGCCTGAGTATAGCATAGTTAAATTTGTCTGCTTCAAAGGCTTTTAGAGCGCTCAATGGTTGGATGAATTCGAGAACATCGTCCCATTGTCCGTCAAGGATAAGTTGTCGCAGAAAGAGCACATCGTCGGCGTAATTTCCGTTGATGACGCCGGTTTCACGCTCAAGCGATAGTTGCGTGATGTGCAAGTCGCGGTTGTGGAGAAACTCGAGTGCCAGACGAATGACGTCGTCTTCGCGCAAGTTTAAGTGTGTTGATGGCATTCTTGAGATGGTTTACCTGTAAGAAAGAAAATTAAATTAAATATTGATGACATTTGCCACATTACACAACAACAATGTAAAAAAATAAGTTATTGAATATTTACTAAGAGACCACAAATGTTACAAAACAGAGCTTATTATGGTTTACTATTAACTCAAGCTACTCCTAAAATGTGTAAAAGAAAATCATATATTGGCATTATAGCCTAGCAACAAGGATGTAAATAAGTGGACAAAGATTAATTACATGCATTAGAGTTAACCAGTTTAATAATTAAAGATTATTTATATTATCTAATTACGAAACATAAATAAATTATCCATGTGCTTTTAATTTAACAACATTAGTAAAGTTTTGTTCAAAAACAAAATGATGTGGAACAGTGTTTTAGCATTTATTTGCAACTCACCAAAACATTAATTGGATACAACAAATCAATCTAGTTTCAGCTCTAGTCTTTGCCCAACAAGTGCCATAGTACTTTCTACACATTACCGGAAGAATTGTGTTCCAACAAGTGCAGTAGCTAATTGTCCCTGTCTTACCCCTATATACCCACACACAAACAAACGAGATAACTATATTCCTGACATCCTTGCTTCCTATGTAAAGTTTAAGTTTAGCGTTGTTTGAATATGTTAATATTCAATTAGCAAAATTGTTCGTAGAATCTTCAATAAATATAGAACTACTAATCTACAAATAAATAATTCAATAAGCATAACCTTAGCGACATACAAATATAGGCTTTCTATTAGCTTGAAGAATTGAATAAATCAAGTCAGTTTGAGTGTACAAAAATACTTTTAAAACTGTTCAATAAACATAAAACTGCCAAGTATGGACAGTTTACTGTTTCTGGAAAATCTGACATATATAATGTTAACTGTAGCCCTTGAGTTAGCGGTTACAGGTGTCCTAGAATGTACATTCAGTATGTTATTTTACTATAAGGAACTGCTTAACCATACTACTACTCTGAGTATGGCTAGTCATTTTTACTGTCAGTTTTTTGTCAGCCTTAGACAGATTTCGTCTCTCAAACATGACAATGCTATTGGCTAATTTAATATGACTCACAAAGTAATCTACAATCAGAACATTGCTGTTATAACCACAAAAACTAACCATGTGTTATGTTGTTATTTTTTAACTTAAACCTATCAAAACCTTATTATAATTTATAGAAGATGTTAGCCACAACTATAACTTATGTGTTAATAAATATACATAAAATAATGAAAATAGATGAAAGGACAGCAATTTCAAATGTACTATTTGCTTCAGGTCGTTCAGCACTAACAATGTGACAATATCTTAGTTTTTCATTTGTTTTTCAAACATCAAATATTAATTTTATATTATTTTTCATAATATGCAATAATTAAATATTAGAGAATTATTTATGTTTAGTGCTATCACCAAAAGAATAACTGCGTAATGCAAGCAAAACAAATTGAATGCAATTTTTTTTGTTTAGATGAACAGTTCCAAATTAAGATGACATCGTTTGAAAAACTTTCACTAAGAAGCGCATATTTATGCGTAATTTATATTCCTACCAAGGGAAAGTCAAATATCAATCTATATTAAGAGAAAGCATAATTGTCACTGTAGCATCACACCAAAACATAATTCGACCCGAAATATAAATCTTGTATTTATAGCGATGCTACCAGATACTTAAATTTGAAATGAAACATCTACGCCTTGGCAAAATTTGATGTAAATGATAACACCTACACAATTTTGGATATCGACCAAGCAAGCTCCATCGTGCAATTGTGAAAACTACATATAAATACAATTAAAAACATTTACCAAAAGCAAAATACAAAAATTCTCTACATTTACAGTTAGAAAAACAACAATCAATTATTTTAGATAAGTATTACGTATTTCTAAAATTAATTATAGAACGCTCACCTGTCGTATGGCTTTTAATTAATCCCGCAATTAGCGACAGTGAAATAATAATTTAAAATACCACATATATTTACGGCAATATTTTTATGAGACCATTTGAAAGAGAATAAAAAAAATATTCGACATAATATCGTTGTCGATTGTCGTTGAGTCGTTGAAGAAAGCTCCCACAGATAGCATATTATATTTTTACTTATTGACACCCTGGCAAAGATTTTTAATTCAAATTGAATAATCAAAATAAACATAATTAAACCTATCTTTTAATTTTTCACGTTATCCTATTGAAATATATAAGTATTTCTGTTTCACTCACTTCAGAAAGGTGATCAAAACTTGGATTGTTGGTATAAACAGCTTATATTAGTTTACGGGTGATTAAAGTTCAACTTACATTTTGAATTAAATCATTAATTTAACATATACGTTAACAAGTAACGTTTGATGAGATTTAGAGCATCTTCTGAGGTTTGGACCTATCCGTAATACCCTCCCTTATCAGATTACCGCCGATTACGCTATTTATCTTTATCTATCACACATGATCCATATTACTGTATAATGCGGGATGAATTTATTATATCATATGGTATTGTTACACTTCCTTCTCTATTTTTTTTTAATTTGTATCCTATAATCAACTACACATACGTTAATCGTGGATTTTCAAAAAGGCAGTGATAGTAAATAACTATCTCCTATTATCTATTAGACTATCTAAACTGATTCTATACGCATTTAGGCTGAGCTACTATAGTTACCTCTGAACATATTAGCTTACTTCTAAATTGTGATCCGTACGGTATAAATAAAAAAAAACAAGTAACGGATTATCATATAATAAAATGGCAATATTTTAAATAAAATTACAAAACACGAAACACTTTTCTTTGAAAAAACCAGTAAAGGAAACAAAAAACGTTCGATGATACTGGCAACACAGGAACTAGTGTCATCGTGATAGTAAAATAAATGTGACAACGGCGGGTCTAACACACTGATAGAAATATAATAAATTAAATTTTTAGAAAAGTATTTACAATGGACGAAGAAGGAGAAAGTATTTTGCTTGAAGATAATTATTATCAATTATTAAACGTGTCAAAAACGGTAAATATTTAACCGCATGTTACTTAGTATTTCAGTATTATTGCAACATTATTATATAACTACCAAAGTTATGTCAATAATTAATTGATAAAAACTATATGTAATATTACAAAATACCAGGATTCTTATTATCTTTACATTGAACGTATTACATCATGATATTAATTATTTCTTCATGCCGCTTCACAAATTTGAGGTTATATTATTATGATTTATTTATCGTGAAGAAGATAGTTTTGCTGCATAATGTGCTCAAAAGTAAGATGTAATGTTGGTTGAATTTTATCCATTATAGAAACTTTAGTCGAAGTATTAATAGAATTATTATTAACATTTTATAGTGCAATTTGATATAATTTATTTCTTCGTCATATACGTCCCCACTATGGCGCGTAAGCCTGCCCTAATTTAAAAAATATCGAACTTAGAAAAATTCTCCCTGGTTGCTTTATTCACTGTAAAGTTATCTCACACTTATCAACTCTCCGTTTCACCGTCATTACCTTGCGTGTACACTCGTGGTCGTTTCGCCATCAACAGACGAATGCATTACTAACTCCGAGTGAATATTAATAAAGAATTTTTTTATTGATAATGCTATGTAAAATTTCTCAAGCTCGTACAATCACAAATTCTTCTGTAATCTATATATCTAAATATATAAAAATCTTACTTTATGATTGTACATTTTATATCATTGTTTATTTTGTTTAGTAGTAAATATATTATTAATGGTTATTGCATAATTTTGAAGAGGCCTTACAGACAGAGCGCAGGCTGTGAGCCTTTTCCACTGCCCAATGATGAACATTTTTCATTTATCATAAGGTTTTTTTTTATAACACAAAGTGGCAAACGAGCAAGCGGCCACCTGAAACCGCCAAAATGGCGAAGCGACCGGTGCCCATAGACATCCGCAATTGCAGATGCGTTGCCTATCCTTATACGACAGAGGAGGAGACACACATAAAGAGAATATTTCCCCTTCCTATGCATCTCCTCCACCGTCATATCCACTTCCTCTTCCCAACCTCTCTTTAAAAGAAAAGGGTGGTAAAGAGAAAGGGACTTAAATTAGGCCTCCGGCACCACACTCATCAGACGAAACACGGAATTTCTTCCATTTCACGCCTGTCTTCTGTGTGGTTGTGGTATTACACCGGGCGTGCCGGCCCATTCGTGCTAAGATGTTAAAGCGTGCACTACCACTGTCAAAAGTATCAAATCATTGAAAACATTCACCACTCTGAAACTACCCTATAAGTTATTAATTATAAGAAAAGTGTAAGCAAGTATAAAAAGCCTTTAAACATTATTATTTTCATCTTCAGGCTTCAACGGATGAAATAAACAGTGCATACCGCCGTTTCTCACGCATGTTTCATCCCGACAAACATAGCACGGATAGCAAAAAACAAAAATGGGCTGAGCAGATTTTTAACAAAGTGAAAGAAGCTTATGAAGTACTGTCTGATTCCCACAAGAGAGCTATTTATGATACCTTAGGTAATTTATTTTAATATTCAGAAATTATCTAAAATTTACTGTGCATTTTTGTATTGAACTTTAAAGTAACTAATTAAAATTATATCTTTTACAGGAAAACGTGGATTAGATGTGGATGGATGGGAGGTTATCTTTAGGACTCGAACACCAAAGGAAATTAGAGATGAATATGAAAGGTACGACTTCACTTTAATTTAAGCTTCAAATATAAATGAGGGAATTCAAAAACATGCATAGTGAGTAGCCTATTGATCTTTTAGACTATGTTTTACATCTGTGCTAAATTTCATCAAGATATGTTAAGCAGTTTTGAAGATACATAGTAACAAACATACAATCCATCCTAATTTTTACATTATTTGCTATATTGCTATCTTAAATGATTGTAACTTAAATTTATGTAATGGCTAGTAATATTATGTGGAATTAGGAAATAGATAGACATATTATAGCATACTTCTTCTTCTTCTATCTTCGCCTTTTCCCAGTTATTTAGGGTCAGCAGTCGGCTTGCCTAATATTATAGCATTCTTCTCAAAAAAATATATTCATAGTTAATAAATGTTTGTCTCATTCAGGCTAAAACGGGAGAGAGAAGAACGACGGTTACAGCAAACTGCAAACCCACGTGGCATTATCACATTGTCAATAAATGCAACAGATATGTTTGCAAAGTATTATGATCAATATGAAATTCTGTAAGTAATATATAAATACTTCAAGTGTTTTGCCAAATAATATAATGAACATACTAAAAGCTTGTTAAAATAAAATTTTCTAGAACAACTTAATTAATTTGAGAAAACTTCAATGAAGTGATTAAATAAAGATCCAAATGAGTACAAACACTTTTTATATATCATTATTAACATTTTGATGTCAAGAATTTTTACTGATTGTTTATATTTTAGGGATGACACAGCCTTAATTCCCAACATAGAAGTTTCCGGAATGACGATTCAGCAATCCATTGATGCACCAGTAACACTAAGGAATACAATGACTTTGTCTGGAAATATTTCAACACAGAATGGAAATGGTAACTTTAAAAATATCTAATAGCAGTATAAAATCAACTTATATTAAATATCCATTGCTTTCAATTTTCATAAATTTTTATTCAACTCATTAAAACTCATTACACATTTTTACATAACTGTTTTGTTAGGTTATCAACTTATTTATATGAGTTGTTGAAAGTTTTCTTCTGAATTTACACCAAAAGCAATCACATAATTCAATTTATATATATTTTAGGTACAGGATCAGTGAATGTGTCAAATCGTCATTTAAGTTCAGAAAAAGGTTGGACTGAAGTAGAATGTGGTATAGGAAATGGACCTCTTCTGGGGCTCAAAGTTTTTCGAACATTGTCTCGACTGATGTTTCTAAATTGTGGGACTGTACTGCAATTTTCTTCGAGAGGGATAGTGCCAAGTTTTGTTTCAAGTAAGTGAAATTGTTCTTTATAATTTACTAGATGTTCATATGCAGATTCATAGACATATTTATTAGTAAAACAGCTTTCGCCCGAGACTCCAGCCCCGTAAAATTAACAAAAAAACAAAGCAATGTGTTCTTCCAGTCTATCATCTATACCTATCCCAAATTTTATCAATATCCATTCAGCCATTTAGGCTACAAACTCTAACAAACATCCATCTAAACTTTCGCAATTGTAATATAAGTATGATTTATTTTATTGTTTACAATATGTACAACATTCAATTGCAAATATTAATATACTAATGCTATAATGATAAGAAAATCCTTGCCATTAGTTAAAATCATAAGTATTATGGCAACCTTGCATATTTGATGCTATTGAGTTGTAGTTTCTTCCCTTACTCGGATAACAATTTTCCAATTTATTAACCCCTAAATTAAGGTATAGAGCTTTTATGAAAATTGTGATTATTCCAAAATACGCAGCGATTTTTTACATCCTATATAACAAAATGTGTGTTTAAACTTTTTTTTTTAATTTTACATCACAGCTAATTGTGTGATTGATCAGAGTTAATTTTAAAATTTCCTTCTTTAAAGGATGTTAGCGGTATTTATAGTTCTGACTTATGTTTCCAGCTATGGCATTACAGTTAGATGCACATTCAGTTGGATACCTGACATATCGTGCAGGTGGTCAAAGTGGCTCATCTATGACATCCATGTATGTCAGAGACTCGGATAAATACCATACAAATACTGCCCTGCAGATTGGAAATCCTCATTCGTTCATTTCTTTCAACGTGATGAGGAAACTGCCACAGTTTGATATGAAATTAAGATTGGCTCTCAAGTGAGTATGTTGTTTTTTTCTCAATAATTTTCTATTTTTATTTATATATTCTTTGTTTTTATTAGTGTAACAAACGAAATTAGGTTGTAAATTAGATTAGACTATTACAAATGTAATGCTAGCGAATTGATATTAAAATATTCATGTCAGTAGACATATCATTCATGTTAAAATATGCATCTGAAGCATACTTCATTTTTACATAATTATATAAATACTAACTTTGTCCCGCCTCTTCATAAAATTAAAAACAAAAATAAGTTGCTTGTCTGTTCTTCTAGAATATCCCCTATATGACAAATTTCATTGATATCCAATCAGTAATGGCCACAAACTCTAACAAACATCCATCCATCCACTTAAACTTTCGCATTTTTAATATTGAGATATGATAGATTACTTTGCAATGCTTTCACCAATCAGTTATTTGCTGTGCTGTTTTATAATAAAACTATTGTTTGGTTCTTTATTTATATAATACTAGTTGTTACCCGCGACTTCGTCCACGCTATATTAAGACAAAAAAGTAGCCTATAATATGTCTATGTCAGCTACCCTCCAGTGAAAGGCTTGCCGACAGACATACAGACAAAAGATTTATAAATGCGATTTTCGTTATCAGCAACGCATACACCATCTTCCTCAATTCTTTTGATATTACAGACACTCCAATTTTAGTATATGTATAGAAAATGTGTTCTTGTTGAATTTATCTCAATCTCGAGATGACGCAATTTTCACATATTTACATACTTATATGTGGAAACAAAAAATGTGTTATGTTCAAAGTTTTATGTTTTTTATCATCTGTCAACACCTTATTCAACTAACAATATAATAATTCTATTGAATATGGATATAATAAAATTATTCAGAAGGAAACGTAATCTTATATCTTATTCAATAAATAAGTACATTGTAATATATTGAAGTAATAATAAATAATCTGATCACTATGTCGCGTTAACATAAACTTATGTAATAATCTCCGTTATAATATTACGTAATGTTTATTATTTTAACATATAGTTTGCAATGTTGTAATTAAATGAATTACATGCTTTATATACTAGTGGTTGCCCATTGGTCGAAATTCGACCATAATTTACAACCATTTTTAAAATTCTAATTAAAATAAATCTCTTAGTGAAACCTTGCGTTGTATTATGCCTCCACGCACAATTAAATACATAAGACTGTGTCCTGTCCTATCTGTCTGATAGTGGCTCAGATAGCTTAAAAATGACGTCACTGTCAGATAAGGAAACAAACTCCAATTTTTCCAACACATATTTTACATGTTGGTTTATCAATCTACAATTTGGTGGACCAGGCCCTTATTGTTGCATTTGCAAACTTGTTCAAATGAACACAAAAATGTTGATCTTTCGAGAATGGGTTAGCCTGCGCCGGCGCTGTTGCGTGGACGATTGACAACGAACGTTAATTCTGCGTAGTTTCCTGCGAAAAATGAAATTAAAAACCTATTTAAGTGTAAAACTGTGCGGAAAAAATGCTAAGCGATTTGTATATGTTAGCGAGTTAAATGCTATGAAGGCGGGGCGGGAGGAATCGGGCAAAGGCCTATACTTCGCATTTTACATTCATTTACACATTAGTAGAACGTCCAACGGCTGAATACTGAAACGAATCTATAACACTCCTCTTGGTTGAAACCGTTTATTCGACAGATGTTAAAATTATTATGGAATTTATGCTTGTCATTATTTAAAACGCTGTTACATATTTAAAAGTTTCAGTACTTAGCCGTATGTTTTGTAAATACTCATACTTCACAATCTATACATGGCGAAAATCACATTATTTATGTGATTACCGCCATTATTTTGTGGAAATTGTATGAAAGAGAGTAAAAACAGAATAAATGGTTATCTAAAATTATTAACTAGTAACAGTAATGTGAGAAAAGTTATTTTTCAACAAAATTTTATTATTTGCAAGTTTTGTCTCAAAATCTACGTTGTATTTATCATTTACGAGAGCGCTTACATTTTTAACGAATTATTATCTCTAACGAAATACCTTACTTGTTACAGATTCGGTACATTCGGTGCGTTAGTTGAATATGGTGCAGAAAAGAAAGTATCACAGAATAGTAGTGTTTCAGCTGCGGTTATGGTTGGAGTTCCCACAGGAGTTGTACTCAAACTTAAGCAAGTATACCTGTATATCGTATTTAAATTCTCTAACATATAAAATAGAAATATAATGCTCTCCAACTGCTTTGCTTACTTTAAATAATAATAAGAATAATAATAATAAGGAACATTTAATCAGCTCAAAAACACATTGCAACATATTAAATACACTTGAACACAAAATACAAAATACAACCAAAAAAAAAAGACATGAACTACTTATAATCAAAACTAATAACTGATGACAAAAACAAATTACCGAAAGAAATAATAAAAAAAAACAACAAACACTAAACATTATAATGAACTGAGGATTATATAAAGTGCTAAAAAATTTTAACTCCCCTATCCTTTTATTACAAACTAGCTGTCGCCGTGTGGCCGTTAATTTAATATTTACATTTCTCAAATTCTCAATTGAAAATGTCAAAAGTCAAACGCACAAATAACATCGAAGGCTTTTGGTATTTGATAACAATTACTGTTACCATAATATCCTCGCTTACTTAATGTTGGCACCTAGTAGTTTATGGTCCCTTTCACGCATGAAGGATTTTTCTAATTTTAATAGCGCGAAAATATAAACCCTAAAGCGTTTTGTAAGTGTAAGGCATTGTATTAAACAAAGAATTATTCAAAAATATGCTGTGATTGCTGAAATTCACCGCAAAAAAGTAGTGTGTATACCCTTTATTATATTAATATAGAAGGCAAATGAAAAGCGAGGATAAATTGATGGAAGAAATTAGAATCATGTAAATGTAACCCCTATTGTGTATACTAATAAGGTTGAAAATTGTTTCTAGGTGGAGCTGTTCCTCACAAACAATAGTAGTGCCAATGCATCTTTGTGATGAAGTAATGCCATCACCGGTGTTCTATGCCACTGTTGTCCCATTGGTGTCATGGCTGGTCCTCAAGAAAATGGTCCTGGATCCTATAGTTAAAGAACGCCAAGAAAGAGAAAGGCAAAGATCTATGGAAGCTAATTTCGAAAGGTAAATAATTACATTTTGATTCGATAACGTGGTATAAATGTATGATAGGCGTCAATGAAAAAGCATGATATTTTGTTATATTTTGCCTGCGCTTGAGCTGAGCGTGCAAGCAAAAAAACGGTTCAAGCGAGAGCAAGGTTCAAACGAGAGCGCGGTTCAAACGAGAGCGCGGTTCAAACGCGACCGTGGCTCAAACGAGAGCGTGGTTCAAACGAAGGCGCGGTACAAACGAGAGCGCAGTACAAACGAGAGCACGGTTCAAACGGAAGCTCGGTTCATACAAGAGCGCGGTTTAAACGAGAGCGTGGTTCAAATGAAAGCGCGATTTAAACGAAAGCTCGGTTTAAACAAGACCGCGGTTCAAACGAGAGCGCGGTTCAAAAGATAACGCGGTTCAAACGAGAGCGCGGTAAAAACGAGGGCGCGCTACAAACGAGAGCGCGGTTCAAACGAGAGTGCGTTTCAAACGAGGGCGCGGTTCAAACGAGTGTGCGGTTCAAACGAGACCGCAGTTCAAACGAGAACGCGTTTCAAACGAGAGCGGGGTAAAAACGAGTGCGTGTTTCAAACGAGACCGCAGTTCAAACGAGAGCGCGGTAAAAACGAGAGCGCGGTTCAAACGAGAGCGCGGTTCAAACGATAGACTTGGACGATCGGCGTAAGCGTTCGCTTTGAGACGTCATCACGTCAAATTATCTTTTGTAATCATACATCACACACATTTCTAAAGATTTTTCCCGTTTGGATAAATTTAAAGTTAATTGAGGGAAAATTGTACTTCTTATGGTAGTAAGAAAATTATTGACATGGTAATATATTCGTAAATACTTAATATTATAAGTGTGAAAGGTTGGATGGATGGATGGATGGATGGATGGATGGATGTTTGTAGCATAAACGGCTAAACGGATTTGGATGATATTTGGCACAGATGTAGAGCATAGTCAGGAAGAACACATAGGCTACGTACTTTGGTTTTTTATACCACGTGGACGGAGTCGCGAGCGTAAGCTATATAGATATCTAATAAATTTAGCCCTTGATCTTTTATTATAAAGTTTATTTTATAACAGGTTACAAGAAATGCAGCAACAAGCCCGAGCTACTGTAGAATTGATGCGTGAAACCTACTCGAGAATCAAGAATGATGAGGAAAAGAAGAAAGGCTTGGTTATATTGCAAGCTTTGTATGGAAAATTACCTGCAGGTAAATCTATCTACACTAATCTATACTTAATATAATAAAGCGTAAACACTCACTGAGTTACAAAGGATGTAAGTAATCACGGTATATTTTTGGATAATTCCTTTTTTGATAAAAAGCTCTACATTAATGCCACGCTTTAGGCTATGTATTTGCACGCTGTTAAGCTTAGGGAGTGAATGATTTGGAAAAAGTCGTCCTGCGGGAAAGGGTCAAAAGCTACGAGCTGACAACATCAAGGTTGCCATGGTAATGGTAATTGTTATCCAATGACAAAACCCTTATTTGTGCAATTGAAAAATTTGACAAAAGTAAACAATAAAATAATAAATATTTTATCTATCTATACTATTATAATAAAATGTAAACACTCACTTCTTTGTTGCCTAAGATGTCAGCAATTACAGCATATTTTTGAATAATTCTTTTATTTAATAAAAAGCCCTACACTTGCGTCACGCTTAAGACTACATATTTTAACGCCATTAAACTTAGGGTTAAATATTTTGAATAAAAACCCTAATGTGAGAATAGACCATAATTGGCTGCCAACATCAAGGAAGCAAGGTTGTCATCATGTCATGTCATTTTGACATTTGTAATTGATAATTTGACAAATGCAAAAAAATAAAAAAAAATTATAATTTCATGCGAATGAAGTCGCACGGGAAGAGCTAGTATAATATAATTGTATATAATTGTAGGTGCGGATAGTCATGAAGTATCAACAGATGAAGCGGGAGACGGTGACCAAGCAGAAACACCACAAGGATATTCCGAAGTTATTGAAGTTACGATACCTCTACAGTGCCTTGTTAAGGATTCCAGGCTCGAGTTATTAGAAGCTAGCAAGGTATATTGCAGAATTTAATATTAATAAGGAATTATATATTATTAAAACTGGCAATGTTATTTTTGACAGGTATATTAAAAAAAATAGTGTATCTAAAAAAAGTAGCCTACGTGTTCTTCCAGACTATACTCTAAATCTATACCTAATTTCATTAAGATCCGTTCTGCACGGATCACTAAAAGACATCCATCAATTCATCTAAACATTCGCATTAATAATATTGGTATGATCGCATGATTTATCATTAACTGGTTATAATCATACTAATAATATAAATGTGAAAGTTTAGATGAATGGATGGATGGATGTTAGAGTTTGTAGTCTCAACTGCTAAACCAATATCAATGTTTGTCATAGATGTTAAAGAGTCTGGAAGAATACATAGGCGACTTACTTTTGTTTTTTTATTTCCTTGCGGACGCAGTCGTAGGTGTAAACTAGTTTATAATATTAGTAAGTAATTTTCTAATAGAAATTTGATGTTTTTTTTTCAGTCGGAATTACCAGGATTCTACGATCCATGTGTTAGTGATGATAAGCACCTCACTATCAAATATTCTTACCACAATAACCTCTATATTTGCACCATTACTGATCAACAAGCCGTTGTTTTGCCGCGCAATAGTAAGTAGTTTTTTTTATATATATAATATAAGGTGGCAAACGAGCAATCGGTGACCTGAATCCACCGAAATGGAAAGCGACCGCTGCACATAAACATCCGCTATTGCAGATGCCTTGCCCCTCCTTACTTGACAGAGGACGAGACACACATAAAGAGGACATCTCCAACGTCAAATCCACTTTCCTCTTAAGAAAAGGGACTAAAATGAGGCTTCCGGCACCGCTCTCATCAGAGTGTACCGGGAATTGTTTCCAATTCACGCCTATCTTCTGTGTGGTCGTGGTATTTCACCGGTAGCCGGCCCTATAGTGCGAATGTTAGCGCGGGTTTACCGCTATTTTTAACCAGGCATAAGTAAAATAATAAAAAAAACAATTTAGTCTACAGCTTGTTATTTGAGTGCAAAAATTTGACTTTTTAACCATAAAGTTAATCGCTTAAGAATTGATGAAAATCTCTATGTTTATATCAGAAAAACCACGGTTCCATTTCAGATCAGTTTTTTTTTAAATTTTCAAACTAGATAGGAAGTTAGAAACAGCTTTTTTGGTGATTCGATTAACTAATTAATTATTAATAAATTTATTCTACATAATTTATTTTCCTTGTCTCCAGATCATCGAATAAAAAATAGATCCTGAAAATTAAAGTCGAGGTGCAAACGCTAGCACCATTTTAACAACAAACGTATGCAGCTTCTTCAAAATTATTATTATTTATTTTTTAACTTGTGGTCTGAAACCAGTATTTGTTTGTAAAGTGTGTTTTATCACTCGTGTTGCAAAGTAACGGAGATGTATCTATTTTTGAATTGATATGATAATTGTTATTTCTACAAATAAATATGTACAAATATAGACTAACCAGGAATATGAAAAAACCCTCGCTCGTATTGCAAATATGTGAAACTAATTTCTTACAGTATATGAACAAAAATAACGAACAGAAGTGCCTCTACCAGGATTTTTATATTTCAGGTTAGTTTATACTTTATTTGTATTATATTTAGTTATCAAGTAAACCTCTACAAAGGTTGGGAAGTGCCTTTACGTTCACGTCAGCCATGTTTATAACATAGGCAAGTAAAAGTAAATTTTACGTACAATTAACAAAGGTATTCCAGTACAAAACTATATGGCTTACAGATATACTCAGAGTCGATAGTTACGCCAGAGAGCCTGAGTGTAGATTTAAGTGAGAAATCTAAGTGTGACACGAAGTACAATGTGAACTTATAAACATGTTATTTTTCTAAGGGTATTTATTCCGGCAATAATATGTAATAAGTCCAGCAATATATAAATAAATATGGAATTTTATACTGAATATAAATTGATAACTATGCCGTTAAATATTTTATAGCTTATAGTGCTTTTTAAATTAACTGTTACTATTCCATTTTTAACGTAGTTTATATTGGCACAAATAAATATAAAAAAGGTAGCAATAAGCCAATTTTATTCTATATGAAGTAAATTATGATAATTTTGATGAACACCAACTATTTATAAATGTATTGTCTGAGTAAATTAATTTGTAACTTTATCAATTGAGTTTTATCGTAAGATGGTATTTTGTGTCGTTTAATGTTAAATTTTAAACATATTTTTAGATGCTTGAGGCATTGTAGCCGCATTAATTAGGAAATTTATATAAATATAATACTCAAAGGGTTTAGCGACTTTTTGAGCGTTTGTGTCACAGAAGTCACAGATTAAACTGCAGTTAACTGTAACTATAGTTTAAACGGTTGTTAGAAGTACTCTATATAAATGGTTGCATAGTAAATATATTTTAATTCTTATTATAAAAATCAAATGTGGTGAATATTTAGTAGATTATTTTAAAATTAGTAATGTTGAATGTAGATGCCAATAAAGAATTTTTAAACATTTGTAATGCTTTTCTTCGATATGATAATAACACTGTCCTATAAACTTCCTCCTTACCCTCAAAGTATTAAAAGGTAAATAGCTTTTTATCTAGCCGTGAGTTTTCTATGAAACATGTATGAAAAAACATTTTTAAGGAAAATAAAAGGAATGGCAACATAATTTTATACAAGTGGCAGAACGATGACTTTCATAAATTTTATATTTCAAATATCATTAATGTTTTAATTTAGATAAGAATCTGCTTTATTATGCCTGCTAAGGTTCAGTTCTGATAAATTATACATTACAAGCTTCCCCGGCGACTCCGCCTTCGTGGGATAAAAAAAAACAAAAGTGAGCCTATGTGTTCTTCCAGACTATCCTTTACATCTATTCCAAATTTCAGTGAAATCCGTTCAGTCTCTAACAAACATCCATCCATCCATCTAAACTTTCACATTTATAATATTAGTATGATTGTCATTCTATACTTGAACTTTAGCATAACATTCTGTTAAAACTGAGCGTCTTATAAGTTTTGGGCATGTGCAAAATCTTCTAAAGAAAATTTGCAAACATTACAAGTAGCATTAAACATTACATGTCCGTTTTACGATATTGGTAACCCTTTGAATGTTTACTATGCTTTTGTATTGTACCACACAATAGATAATAAATCCTTTCCAGGTGCCATGAGATGACTATTCAAATTGAACTCTGTCATTCGCAACGATTACGAAATTAAATAGAGAAGCCACCGAGTGCTCTGTAATTTATTCTATACATATAATAAAATTGGAGTGTCTGTTTGTACTATCAGAAGAAAATTGCTAGATTTCGGGAAGATTTTGTCTGTCTGTTCGCAAGTCGCGTTTGTTTCGGGTAATCTCCAAAACGGCAGAGCCGATTTCGGCCGGACTTTTACTGAGGGGCAACTGACATAGACGGGCATATTATCGGCTAATTTATTTAATTGCGCGCTGTCAAAATGGCGTAATGGGTGGTTCAAAATTGCGCTAACGAAGTATGCAGCGACAGCTCGTTGTAAATATTCAGAAAGTAGATACTCATGAGCATAGGAATCTTGTGTTAATAAAAAAGCTGTATTTTACAAGCTATAAATATCATAGAGAAAATGTTTATAGGTTATAATCAAACGCCGTATGTAAACGAAGTTTATTTATTCAAATGAAAAGTTATAAAAATTAGGATCCCGTTAAAGTTAATGTGGAGCTATAAGTGTAAGTATAACGACTACTAGTTAAAATAGAACCTCCAAAAATTCGTAGCTCCTGTCGTAATTAACTAATTTAAAACAAGCGTTGTTGATGACAGTGAATAGCATGTGTGTGGCCTAACATCTATATGAAATTTGATAGTTATAAATAAATGTAAACTTTATATATCACTTCAAATTACTTTAGTGATCGTAGTAAATTGAAAAAAAAACATTATCACGAATACTATAATCGAACGATGTTTTTCTTGAAATAATGTTAACATTAGATTTTTTGTTAAGATAATGTCATAAAAGTGCAGCAAACAGTAACTATACGTCATTGCAGAGTCTCCTCTTCAAAACAATTTAATCCTTTGTTTTTTACATCAACTAATACTATAAAGATGTTTCCTTTGGTAAAACCATAGATTATGTTAATTGTAATCACAGGTACATCGTTAATTATTTTGATTCTACTGATATAAAAACTAACTGGTAATATTCATATTATTACTTACAGTCACTAATGAAAACTGATATTGTTAAAACTATTTTAATTACGCGGTATCCTAGGTGAGGTAGATAGTAGTTTCTATCACAAATATATATACAAATTGTGTCGTCAAAACATTATTACGCCAGGAAATATCTAGCCCAAAGTAATGTCGGTGTGAAATGACAAGTAGAGATGCTGTAGCTACACGGAAAATCCGAAATCGAGATTGTAATATATGCTCTGGGCATAAGGGTGGGAATACATACCACTTGAATTGAATAACTAAGCAACTTTCAAGCTACTTACTGTCACTCCAGTTTCCATTTACAAATCTGTAAACGGTTCATGAAAGTATCTTGCATGCAAGTGTGCCAGCTACTGGCATGTGTGTTCCCACCTTACCGCTAGAATCAACTAGAAATCTGTTATCCCATTTATACAATTTAGACGAGACAGGACCTGTTAAATACTTTTAATATCGCTGATTCAACATTACATATTTTTAAATAAAAGTTTGTTATGAAAGAAAATAAGAAATTGGGTTCTGAGAATCATTTATCATCTTTCTAAATACCTGACACGTGTTTTTTTGTACTGATTTATCACTGTTTGCCTTGAAAAGGCATTTACAGCTTCACTGGATTTGAGGTGGTCGGGCGCAGATGGCGCTTGGCCTAAACCCCGTTTATGAGTAACTAAGCTCGAGAGCTCCCTCAGGAGGCTCAGGGGCCGTTACTTCGTTATTAGTACTGGATTGGGATGCTCCCGAGGTTAGTACGCTTCGGTGGACAGTCCATGGAGTGACTAGATCCAAGGGCCCCGCGAGGGGACCTCGGCTTGGGCTGTCACTCAATACACGTTTAGCATTCCGATTCAAGGGTGGCCGAGACAGCAGAACCTCGACTTGATCGGTTGCTGCTATCTGATTACTATTATAATTACAATATCTTATATTCTGACACGTTGTGCAGCGTTGCAAGTATTAAACATTATATAAACACAATAAAACGCTCGTCCTTGAGTGTTGCATTGTTTAGTATTTCATTGTATAATTACTTACTCAATTAGTGTTAATAAGAGATGTATGTATAATAGATGTAATAGTTACCTTAGACTTCAAACCTTGTTACACACAAGGCTGCCGGCTAAAAGATTTAAGACATTTCGATTCGGAGTGCAACCATATATAGTTAATTCCGTTAAGAGCTTTGCTATTTGTAAAGCTTTTTAAAGCCTGGATATGCTGGTGACATTCGTGAGTACTTATTATTAGTTGAACTTGAGTATCGGTATAACAAAAACTAAATTCATATAAAAGCTAATGTTCTATAGGAAAATGTATATAAAAAACAATGAAAACCATGAGCATAAACAATAAGTATGTAGTTTCCCCACGTACAGAAAGTGGGTATAAAGTATGATTTTATTTCAAAATTGAGTGCCTACTTCAAAACATTTTAGGAGTACTTAAAATGTACATCGTGTACAAGGTGCTTTTAAAATCTAGAAAAAATTAGTGTCTTACGTAACATTGCATTGTAATGGCTGAGGTTATAATTTGTGTCTACCGAACCTAGGGTTTTCATTAATTTAAATAGCGTTATCGTCACCTTACATTATGCACTATTGTTGATCACAACTAGCTTTGGTTACATAACTCGTGCAAAATCATGACATGACATTCTGACAAAGTATATATCAACTTCGCTGCACCCTAGTTTATTACTTTAACTAGCTTTCGCCCGCGACTCCGTCCCCGTGGTATTAAAAAAAAACAAGTATCCTATGTGTTCCTACGGACTACCCTCTAAATCTATGCCAAATTTCATTGATATCCGTTAAGCCGTTTAGGCTACAAACTCTAACAATCCATCTAAACTTTCACATTTATAGTATTAATATGATTATAACTTGTTAATAATAAATCATACGATCATACTAATATTCTAAATGCGAAAGTTTAGATAGATGGATGGATGAATGTTTTTTACAGTTGGTAGCCTAAACGGCTGAATAAATTTCGATGAAATTTGGTATAGAGGATAGTCTGTAACAACACATAGGCTACTCACTTTTGTTTTCTTTTAATTCCACGCGGTTGGAGTCGCGGACGAAATCTAGTTATTGATAAATGTTAAACGCAAACTAAATATATAAATGTGAAAAATCCCAGAGTGGCTTCATCGTGCCGTTTGGCGACC